GATTGGTTGTTTATCTTTCTTTTCAAATTCTTTTTCAAAATAATTCAAATTTTATCTGTAGTTTTATATAATTTTCTATATAAATTATATTCATGTTTATGTTTATTTCTATTTTATACACACAAGACTAGAGACTAAACTATTTTTTTTCGTTGACAAGATGAATTTATTCTTCTTTTCAAGTATTTCTCTCAACCCCTACATACCAGTACACTGTTCCTAAGGTGTTTTATTTATCCAGTCTTTTCAATGGATTACTTTCAGTGTTTTTATCATTTATTCACTCAGAATATTTATTGAACTGTCTGTTGTATGGTGGACATTTTCAAGGCATGATGAGTCAGAGGTGAACACAGCAAAGCTCAACTGTATCCTGTGTTTTCTCACTTATAATGACTTGTCCTTCTATATTTCCCCCTCCCTGTCGTGGTGGTGAGGGGTGATAATGAAGAGCATGAGGAGGGAGGGAGGAAAATGCTTGTGAAGGTTTTGTTTCATTTTCTATGAGCTAGTTATACACTAAAAATCTGAAATAGTAGCAGTTATAATCTCCTGTGAGTATTTGCATTTAAGATACCATCTTTTCTTTCTCTTTCTTTCTTTCTTTCTTTCTTTCTTTCTTTCTTTCTTTCTTTCTTTCTTTTCTTTCTTTCCTTTCTTTCTTTCTTTCTTTCTTTCTTTCTTTCTTTCTTTCTTTCTTTCTTTCTTTCTTTCTTTCAGAAAACAGGAGAATAACTAAGTCTGATTCAAAGGAACATCTTAAGATAATTCAGGATCCTGAATACAGACGGCTCGGCTGTACCGTAGATATGAACATTGCACTGGCAACTTTCGTACCACATGAGTATGTTGTGTATTTTCCTTGTAATATTACTCATAAGTACTGATATTGTTTATTAAAACCCCTCATATAAAATTAAATAAAGTAGGGGGCTTGAGAGATGACTCAGCCAGTAACAAGCCTGATGACCCGAGTTCAGTCCTCAGAACCCACATAGTAAAAGGAGAGAACCTGCACGCAGTCCCTGACCTCCAGGTATGTGCTGTGGCATGCACCACCCACACATATACATTAAGTGAATAGATGTTAAAAAAATTATATGTTATTATTTTTATTTTATGTGTGGTATGAGTATATTGCCTGCATTGCATATGTAAGGGTACTTGTGTATGTAAGGGTACTTGTGTCGTACAGTGCCCATGGAGGTCAGAATTGAGCATCAGATCCCCCAGAACTGGATGGTTGTTACCTGCCGTGTAGGTGCTAGGAACTAAACCCAGGTCCTCTGCAAGAGCAACCAGTAATCTTAACTGCCCCGTAAAAAATGTTTTAGGGTTTAACTTTTAAAAAAAATTATTGAGAATTTCATGCATGCATATAAGGTGTTTTGATCAAATCCATGCGTACTCCCTCCCCTTGAACTCCTCCCGTATCTCCCCATCAGTTTTTCCTGAACAAATTTTATACTCTTTCTTTTTTTTTTTTTTACATGGAGCCTTTTGCTACTCTTAACATTCCCTCCTCTGAAGAGGTAACCCTAAAATCTTTTAAGGATTAGATAAGAGCTCCCAAATACTTTTGACATTTTTGGCCTTTGGAACAGAGTATGTTGCTAAGAGGCCCAACGACATTTTTACTTTTAGCCAAGAAACTGGCTACTTTTCTTTAGGGTCTTTTTACCCTAGCTGCCTAGCCAGTTCCTACATCCTATTCTTATCATCCCCTGAAGAGGTTACCCAAATTGCCAATAGGGAATCAGGACGCAGACTGCTCTGGCTTCTTCCATGCTGAACAGGGATGCAGGGTAAGGCAATTGGGGTACCCCTTCAGTGGGTCTATCTAAAAGACTCACAAATTGCATAACTCTTAACTATAGGGAGAAAAAAAACGCTTGACTGGTGCTTAGGAGATATAAAGGAGAAGTAAATGCAAGAGTAGTTAGCATTACAAGTTCTAGACAGGGAACCAGAAAACAGTCAAAGCGGCAAATTTTAAATGTTCATATCAGAGTTCATTGGAATTTCTTGACAAGAGCTTCCAAAAGCATCCCTCCAATGAGTTCTTCCTCATTTTTCTTTTGTCTGTTGAGGCCGGACTCTAGAGTGATGGACTCAGGATTTGTTTTCAGGCACTTTGATAGCTGTTGGAGTGGCTAGAATCAGTGTCAGTTCCCTCGCAAAGGCTTCTAGATAGGGGGAGAAAACAAATTTAGCCATCATTTTAAAACAATAGCTAGTTGTCTCCCTTAGCTACAGGTGGGCTCTACAGTATTGCAGACCAAGATTTAAAGTCTAATATCTGAGCAGCACTTTCTGATTAGAAACAAAATCATCAATGAGAAATAATTGTCTAAATAACATTTTATATGGACTTAAGTCTAATGTCTGAGAAATGTAATCCCTTGAACTCTTAAAGAAATATACTGATCACTTTTATATTTGGTTCCTTTTGGGTGTTTAAGTTGGCCCAAATAAACCAATTTATTTTTACTTTTAAGGTCGTTTGAGGATTTGTTCCCCAGGAGTCACATGGGCTTGGGAAGAGCCCCTGGCTCCTTTCTTTTACCAGTTCTGCCTATGTGAAGATAAGTCAAAGGTCCTGCTTGACCATGGCTCTGTGTTGACTCTCTTTGTAGACTGGACACTGGTTCAAGTCCATCTGGTGGGGTCTCCATGGCCTCCCTGAACAAGAGGATAGGTGACTCAATAATTTTTTTTTTAAATGTTTTTAAGCCCTGCATGGTGGTGTACACATTTAGTCCCAGCACTTGGGAATCAGAGGCAGGTGGATCTCTGTGAGTTCAAGGCCAGCCTGGTCTACATAGTGAGTTCCAGGTCAGCTGAGGCTGCAGGAGACCCTGTCTCAAAAATAAAATAAATAAATAAATAAATAAATAAATAAGTAAAGTTTTTAAATAAAGAAAATGGGGACTGGAGAGATGACTCAGTGGTTAGGAGCATTGCCTGCTCTTACAGCGGACCTAATTTCAGTTCCTAGCACCCACATGGTGGCTAACAACCATCTGTAACTCCAGTTCCAGGGGATCCAACACCCTCTTCTGACCTCCACAGGCACTGCATGACACAGGTGCCCTTACATATATGCAGGCGATACACTCATACACATAAAATAAAAAATAATTAAAAAAATATTTTACGAAAGAAAATGAAGTGAAATCATGCAGCATGGTTCACTGCTTCAACACCTGGCATCTTTCCACTTCCTGTGTCAGGCTATCCTATGCATGTGTGTAAAACTTTTGAAAATTGAAAAACCTCTTCGGTTATAGCTAAAATTCTGATGATTATATTTAAGCTTTCTATGACAACTTGTTAGAAAATGTTTAAGTATGAGTTTTGTAAGACCACTGAAGTTTGTATTACTCCATCTGCTCTAGCAACGGGCCAGCTGCAGTTGAGGAATGCTGTAATTGGTTCCGTAAGAGAATCGAGGAATTAAACTCAGAGAAGCATCATCTCATCAACTGTCATCAGGAACAGGTTTCACCTATTTTTAAGTCGCTGCTTTTCTTTGAGTCTTAGTACCATGATGTTGTTCTTGACTTTGTAACATAATTCAATGTTTTGTAGGCAGTCAATTGCCTTTTGGGAAATGTATTTTATGAACGACTGGCTGGCGATGGTCCTAAACTAGGACCTGTCACTAGAAAATATCCTTTAGTTACCAGGTATTCCGTTTTTTTATTTCTTCTCATTGATAGTTAAAAATTGAAAATTGCATTTAACGTTTCAACTTAACTTATGTGTTTCTTTTAAGGTTTGACTTCAGTACATTAAATTAAAATAGGAATTTTGGTTCAGAAATAGGCTTAATATTGATTAATTTTGTTATCATCAGTTTGAACCAGTTTACAGTTATCTACGTTACTGTTTCTAGAGGACCTCATATTTAATGTTAGTCTGTTTTCTCTTGCCGAAACAGAATACCTGAGACTGTGTAATTTATAAAGAAACCAAAGGTCCACAGACTAGGAAGTCTAAGAACATGACATCAGCATCTGCTCAGCTTCTGGAAAAGGCCTTGGGCTGCCTCAGTTCAAGGCAGGAAGCTGAAGGGCAGGTGGAAGTCATGAAAAAAGGCAGCCTCACTTTCTGAAAATGCGTTATCATGCTAACTAATTCAGTCCCCTGAGAGCAGCAACTCACTCAGAGAAAGATAAATCCATTCATGAGGATTTCCTTCCAAGCACCTGCCACTAAGCCCCACCACTTTACGGACTGCACCATCTGATGTGATGGCACATGTCTGTAATCCAACAATAAGGAAACAGAGGCAGGACGAGGTCAAGGTCAGCCTGTGCTGCAAAATGAGCCTGTGTCTCCAAAAAAGCAAAGAGGGGACAAAGGAGTTAAGGGTCCCCATGTGACTTTAGGGATATATGCTAGGCAATAGTAAATTCAGTATTAATCCAAGAGAGTGAGCATCTAGCACCTTACATAAAAACATGCAACAACATTGGGGTAGAGAAATAGCTCGGTGGTTAAGAACACTGGCTGCTCTTGCAGAAGACCTGGGTTCAAATCCCAGCACCCACATGGCAGCTAACAACTGTCTGTAATTCCAGTTCCAGAGGATCCAAAAGTCTCTTCTGTCCTCCGCCGGCATTGCACAACACGGGTGCACTTACATGCAGGCAATACATGCATACACATAAAATAAAAATAATAAATTTAAAAAAAACATGCAACATATATTGGGTGGTTACAGGGTAGGAAAGGTTTTACAAAACAACATCAGTTACCTCAGTGATTTTCCTGTCATTTTGTGAAGTTTTAAAGGTTATTTAAAGTGATAGTAATATGCCAGGCGTGGTGCCACACACCTTTCGTCCCAGCACTTGGGAGCAGAAGCAGGCAGATCTCTGTGAGATTGAGGCCAGCCTGGTCTACATAGCGAGTGTGAGGCCAGTTGGGGCTGCAGGGAGACCCTATCTCAAAAAGAGCCCCCCCCCAGAATAGTAATATATAGTACATTGTTAGCTAGCCATTCTTCAAATCTTACTGATTTTATTTTATTTATTCTACTCATTGGGTAAGAAATTTGATTTTCAGTGTTGCTAATTCAAATTCTCCTTAAGGAGTTTCTGTGTGTAGATTTAATCTTAACTCTTTCTCCCTAGGTATTTTACTTTCCCCTTTGAAGAAATGTCCTTATCCACAGAAGAATCTATGATTCACATCCCAAATAAAGCTTGTTTTCTGATGGCACATAATGGATGGGTGATGGGTGATGATCCCCTTCGAAACTTTGCTGAACCAGGTGCATGATTTTTGACTTCTCTCTAAGTAGGGAAACAGGAGTTCATGGAAAGCTCAAACTATAATGATTGTGGGTTGTGTTTTTTTTTTAGACTTGTGGTTTTTCAACTGTTTCACCAGAGGTACCCAAAATGCATTAGATGGGATTTGTTTCCTGTCTTCCCCTCCCCCACCTCTGACTTTCTCAAACAGAACAGCTCATATGCATCTATTTTTAAATTTTATTATTTTTATTTTATGTGTATGAGTGTATTGCCTGCATGTAGATAGGTGCACCCATGTCGTACAGTGCCCAAGGAGGTCAGAAAAGGGTGTTGGATTTCCCCTGGAACTGGAGTTATGGACAGTTTTTAGCTGCCATGTGCATGCTGGGAATCGAACTTGGGTCCTGTAAGAGCAGAGTGCTCTTAACCATTGAGTCATCACTCCAGCCCCATATGCATCTATTTTATATAGTATGGGTCTACATAAGCTTCAGTTTGAGCTAAATAATTCTATTAATTTTTTTAAAAAAGAAGTTGGAAACCATTTTTGTTAAATTACATTGCCTTAAGAGATATTTTCAGTCATTGGCCAGACAAGTATTAAGGTGCTAGAAGGGCAAGCTAGAAACTGATTGTTTGTAGGGTCTCCCTCACTTACTCTTAGACTCTGTTTTCCTACAGCTCTTTCATTGATAGGAAACATTCTGCAAGAAACCCATTGATGTGTATTTTTTTCAACATTTTAAGACTAAGAGTTTCAGTAACATTAAAGTTAATTTTTAAATCTTATGGGGGGTTTTGTAAAAAAAAAATGTCTTTGAGTTAATTCTCTGCCCTTTATTTTCTAGCCTTTATAAATAATTTTTTAAAAAACATTCTTCTGTGTGCCTTGTCTTTTTAAAAAAAAATCTTATTTTTTTATTTTATGTGTATGAGTGTATTGCCTGCATGTAGGTAGGTGCACCTGTGTCGTGCAGTGCCCATGCAAGTCAGAAGAGGGCGTCAGATTCCCCTGGAACTGGATTGCAGATGGTTGTTAGCTGCCATGGGTGCTGGGGATGGAACCCAGGTCCTCTGCAAGAGCAGCCAGTGCTCTCAACCACTGAACCATCTCTCCAGCCCACCATGTCTTTAACATAATGTATTAGTTAAAAAAAAAAAAAAAAAAAAGAAAGAAAAAGATAAAGAAAGAAATTTAAAGGTACAGATGGAGCTTTAATACTTTAATAGTTTGTTAGAACAATAGCTTTTAGGGCAATGTGCATAACTGTAATCATAGCATTTAGAGTCTCAGGCAGAAGAATCAAAAGGTCAATGACAACCTGGGCTTGAGAGCAAAATCCTGTTTCAAAAAAAGCACTAATATTACTGTTACTATTTTTCCTTAAGAAACAATTTGAGTTTCTGAAATTGAACTCACATTTTTAGAAGAGTCTATAAAGCTAAAATCTTGGCTGGCAAGTTGGCTCAGCTGTTAAGAGCCCTGGCTGTTCTTGCAGAGGACCCAGGTTCAATTCCCAGCACCCACATGGCGGCTAACAACCGTCTGTAACTCCAGTTGCAGAGGAATCAGAAGCTCTCTTCTGACCTCCTCGAGCATTGCAAGACACGGATACACTCACACACATACAGGAAATACACTCATGCACATAAAATAATAAAATATTCTTTAAAAAGCTAAAATCATGGGGCTGGAGAGATGGCTCAGTGGTTAAGAGCACTGACTGCTCTTGCAGAGGACCCAGGTTTGATTCCCAGCACCCACATGGCAGCTACAAACTGTCCTTAACTCCAGTTCCAGGGGAATCCAAAGCCCTCTTCTGACCTCCGTGGCATTGCATGACATGGGTGCACTCACATACATGCAGGCAATATACTCATACACATAAACTTAAAATAATAAAATATTTTTTAAAAAGCTAGAATCTTTGCAAAATGGTTACAAGTTAATGTTAATTTTTTAAAGACTACCCTATGTTATTTTACTGGGAAAACCAGCAGTGTTGGGAGTTAAACTTAATTCCATGTATAGGCACACGTGCTCTATCCCTGAGCTACACCCTCATCCCTACTTTAGATACAGCTTTAGCCAACACATAATTTGTGGTAGAAGTAACACAATTTAGCCAAGCGTGGCGGTGCATGCCTTTGACCTCAGCACTCAGGAGGCAGAGGCAACGGAACTGTGTGTGATATAGGCCAGCCTGGTCTACATAATTAGTTCTAGACCAGCTAGGGCTACAGGATAACCCTGTCTCCAAAAATCAACAGCATGGGCTGGAGAGAGGACTCAGCAGTTAAGAGCACTGGCTGCTCTTGCAGAGGATCTGGATTCAGTTCCAGCACCCACATGACAGCTTACAACCATCTGTAACTCCAGTTCCAGGGGATTTGACACCCTCTTTCTCACCTCTGTGGTCACTGCACAACATGGGTGCACATAAATACAGGTAATACACTCATACACATGAAAAAAAAAAGCATTATTTCTTTGAAGTAGTTATTCAATTTCCTGAACCACTAAAAGTAATGTTCTTTTTAACAGGTTCGGATGTTTATTTAAGGAGAGAACTTATCTGCTGGGGTGACAGTGTTAAGTTGCGCTATGGGAATAAACCAGAAGACTGTCCTTATCTCTGGTCCCACATGAAAAAATACACTGAGATAACTGCAGCTCATTTCCAAGGAGTGCGTCTTGACAACTGCCACTCCACGCCTCTTCACGTGGCTGAGGTACACAAGAACAACTTGTCTACCTTGACAAAGAAGTACAGTGGTCAAACTCCCCTGAGTACGACTATGCAAATACAGGTTTCCTTCTGGTAGTTCAGCTGACACTGACTTGGTAGTGATATTTAACACTTTGGGTAATTTATCTAATTCTGACCACCTTTTGATACAATAGTTATAGAATGCTGGGCTGTGAAGTGTTTTAACAGTTTTTAAATGTAGAAAATTTGATCATATTCCTCTCTAATGAACTATATCATAACTGTTTATTGGTAAGATATAAAATATTTGTCCCTTAGGTTGTTTTCAATATATTAGTCCCCAATGTAAAGTTGATTAGCTTATTGCGCATCATAGTGATGATTTGATTTAACTTTGATTTTTATTTTCATTTTGGGGCATGCTGGGAATGAAACTCAGGGCATTGCATATTGTTGATAAGAGTTTTACCATTGAACTATTCCCCTAACCCATAGAGAGAACATTTAAACACTAACATTGTCACGTATTAAAGCTAGTTTGCACTTCATTGATTCGATTTTTAGTTATGTTTAGAAACATTAATATAAACAGTTTTCTATCCTTCTTTGGGCTTTGTAAAGCTATTTGGAGTGATGTCAGTATTTTCACTGCTATCGTTTGCCTAATACAGGTTTATAAATAAACACAGTTTTCATCCTTCTTGTAAGATCTTTGGTAGTTTTCTAAGTAACAATCTGTGAAAATATGTGCTTGTGTGAAAAATGTCAATTTCTATTGCTTGAATATAGTGTTTGTAGTTCAAGTCCTCTGATGCCAAATGGCTTTGATTGGAGAAATTTCGTTGAAAACATTAGGCTGGTAGAACATTCTTTACCTCCAGAAAATAGCAGAGGGTCTTTTCCAGCTGTGCTTAAGGAGCAGAAAAAAACAAAAATACTTGTAACATTGTTACAATGTTATAGCAAATTAAATTTTACATTGCAAAATCTTCTAGGATTCTGTTTCCTAGCTATTAAAATTTTAAGTATTTTACTAATCTTTGCATATTACTTGAAGAAAAAATTAATACAATTTCTTACTCTAAGCCAGTATTTTCTGATTTTCTGCTAATTAGCAGCAATGTTAAGCATAAATTACACAACTGGAAATATAAAGTGTTAGAGCTGAAGAGTATTTGTCATTAGAGGCTTTAGTTTGGCCTAGTTTTTACTCACCAGCAGACATGATTATCAGTTATGACTTAATCAACCACCTAGAAATGAATAGTTGTATAAGAGGCATTAAAAACAAAGCGCAGGAAGACTGTCACTGTTACGGGTTTCCTTTTTTAATGACACTAACATTTTTCTTTTTCCTTTTTCCCCTCCCTTGTCTTTGCAAAAATCTCATCTCCCTTTTTCACTGTCGTTCTCTCTAAACCTCTGGCTCCTTGTGTGTTTTGCTCTCTTTATGTTTTCTCACGTGTACAACACAATTGACTTGGAAATTCCTTTTGAATTTCCATTTTGTCCTGCTACCTTATCTCTCTTCAAATCCACACCTAGTCCTGCCTTCTCCTTCCCTCCCTGTCTCGCTCTTCTCTTTCTTTTACATTTGTGACTGTGCTTTTTGCAGTACATGTTGGATGCTGCTAGGAAACTACAGCCCAATTTATATGTAGTAGCCGAACTGTTCACGGGAAGCGAAGAGCTGGACAATATCTTTGTTACTAGACTGGGCATTAGTTCCTTAATAAGAGGTAGGCTTGTTGGAAGTCCATTTCCTAGCTAAAAATTTTACCAATTTAAGTGAATTAAAAGGCATGTAAGAGCTTTAAATGCAGAGCTTGATTGATTGTACTATTAAATATTCTATATGAAATTTTCTAATTCAAATATAACTGAATTTACTTTTACCAGTAAAAATTACTACTTTGGAGTAAGATACGTCATTTCACATTGAAAAACCAGTAAGGACAGACAGTGTTGTTTATACCTGCTACCCACCACTGAGGACCTGAGGCAGGAAGATAAGCTTAAGGCCAGCCTGGTATATATAACAATTGCCATGTTAGCCTGAGCTATATGATAAGTTCTTAACTCAAAAAAGGGGAGAGGGTGTGGTGGCACAGGTCTTTAATCCCAGCAAAGGCAGAGGCAGGCTGAGCTCTGTGAGTTCAAGGCCAGCCTGGTCTACATAGTGAGTTCCAGGCTACAGGGAAACCCTGTCTCAGAAAGACCAAAAAAAAAAAATCCCAATTAAAAATTGGGGCAAGGAACTAAACAGAGAGCTCTCAAATGATGAAATGTAAATAGATGAAATATTCTTTCAAATATTCAATATCTTTTGGCATTTGGGAAGTGCAAATTACAACCACTTTGAGATTTCACCTTACCCCAATCAGAAAAGAACAAACAAACAAACAAACAAGACAAATGATGAGAAACGCTGGTGTGGCCTTGGGTAAGGGGAACACTTATTCATTGCTGGTGGTAGTAAAAACTGGTGCAGCCACTATGGAAATAAGTGTGGTGGTTTCTCAGAAAGCTAGAAATAGAATTCCCATATGACCCAGCTATGCCACTCTTGAGCACACACCCAAAGGAGTTATATCCTACTACTGAGATATCTGTTCGTCCATGTTCATTGCTACTCTATTCACAACAGCTGGGAAATGGAAACAACCTGGCTATTTGTCAACCAATGAATGAATAATGAAAATGTGGTACATTTACACAATGGAATATTATCCAATTGTTAAGAAAAATGAAATATTTGTGACCTTTTGTATTCCTGGTCCTCTGTTCCATGAGGGAGCTTCGTTAATGAAAAAAAAAAAAGGGCAGGGGAAGAGGCCGATGAGATAGCTCAGCAAGTAAAGACGCTTACCACCAAACCAGGTGATACGAGTTCAATCCCGGAACCCACCTGGTGGAAGGAGATAACAGACTCCCACAAGTTGCCCCAGACCTCCATATGCTCAGTGTGGAGCCCATATGCATGTGTACACACACACACACACACACACACACACACACACACACACAGATTTTTAAAGGGAAAGAAAGGAAGGGAGAAAGAAGACAGTGTGGTGAACTGATAACTGACAAAACAGAACCTTATTTGTGTATTTTGAAAATAACATTTTTATTGCATTTCCTACCTACATATTTGATAGACCCTTTAGTGTTTTTCCATAGATTTGGGATAACCAGCATACCAGTGAACATTTGCTCCCTTTTTTCTTCACAAGTGGTTTCTCTAGTTACACTTTAGTTAAACCTTAGTCACTTAAATTTGAAAATATTTAATTGCTTTTGATAATTTTGAAGTGTTTTAAAAGTCAGTCATGGTGAGAAATCCAACCTTTTCTTGGACTCACTGTTTAACGGAAGCTGTTAAACTGTTCTGTGATGCTCTGCAGAGGCTATGAGTGCATATAACAGCCATGAGGAGGGTAGGTTGGTTTACCGATACGGAGGAGAACCCGTTGGATCCTTCGTTCAGCCCTGCTTGAGGCCCTTGATGCCAGCTATCGCACATGCCCTCTTCATGGACATTACCCACGATAATGAGTGTCCAATTGTGGTAAGCATCAACCTGTTTTTGCTTTGACATATTTTGCTAAATGTTTCACTATTTGTCTGATGCTTGAAGACACTAATAGCCACATACTTCACAACAGTGTCTTAGATTTGTAAGTGACTGAAATACATTTATTTTGAAATGTTTTATTGTTTTAAAACAAATTAATATACCTTATAGAATGCATCTGCAATCCTTCTTTTGCTTCATTATGTTAATAGAGTGGTGCTTTGCATTTGAAAAGAATGTGAACTTTTGCTTTATTGTTGGTTTCTAGCATAGGTCAGCCTATGATGCTCTTCCAAGTACCACCATTGTTTCTATGGCATGCTGTGCTAGTGGAAGTACCCGAGGTTATGATGAATTAGTGCCTCATCAGGTTTGTTGATGTGTTGTTTCTTAAAATCCACATAGCCAGCAACTTTGGTCACTTTTATCAATGCTCTCCTTGTAATTAGATATGAAGGATTTGCCTTTCTTTAGATTTCAGTGGTTGCTGAAGAACGATTTTATACTAAGTGGAATCCTGGAGCGTCACCATCAGATACAGGTGATGTTAATTTCCACAGTGGAATTATTGCAGCCAGATGTGCCATCAATAGACTTCATCAAGAGCTTGGAGCCAAGGGTTTCATTCAGGTAAGAAATGAAATTTTGTAAATTTCTTTCTGAAGCTTCAGTTTCAGAGGAATGTTCCAACTTGAGCCCTGGTTTCCAGACTGGGCACTTAAATTATTTACTCTTTCCTTTTCTCAGGTGTACGTGGATCAGGTGGACAAGGACATAGTGGCAGTGACCAGACACTCACCTAGTATCCATCAGTCTGTGGTGGCTGTATCTAGAACAGCTTTCAGGAACCCCAAAACTTCATTTTACAGCAAAGAAGTGCCTCAGATGTGCATCCCTGGTAATACCATCCAAAAATTCTTAAGACTTAAACCAGGAAGGAAGTCATAGTGCAACATTGTTTCTCGATGTCCTATATGTCAGTGAAATGTGAATACATTGTGAAATGGAATTAGGATTTGAGATAACATTTTTTTTTAATTAGAAGAAGCATTTCATTACAACAGCATTAACCTATTCAATAACATTTTTCTGAGCTAGGGTACATCTCTTTCAAAATTGGCTGTACATTTTTAGGTTTACAGATGGATTATTACGCTTGTACAATCTTTTACTCATTATAAACTCTATAAGACATAAAATTAAATGAGGTTTTAACATTTAAAAAAGATCTCCACTTTGTTGTTAAAATACACAGTTTCATACAGAAAAATTCATTTTAAGGCAATTGACATTGAGACGTTTTCACATGCATTTCTAATCTCTCTATATATGACTATTACTAGTCACAGTCGCTTACTTTCTGAGTTCCTTGGCATCTGAGTATGAATATAAGCTCATCAGATAGATAGCTTTCCTCTCCCACTAGAGCCTTCATACTCTGTCATCCCTGCCACTGTCCACTGTGCTGTCAGCACCCCCATCTATTCCCCCCTATCTGCCCTTCTGGTAAATCTAGTCAGCTAGAGGTCCCTGTTCCAGGAGGATCAGCTGTTCCTCATCTACGGCAATCCATTGTCAGTATTCCTTTGGATAGGATTGGGGTCTGCTGTTCATTTTTCCAGTAGTATGTTGGGTTATTGTCTGGAAGAGCCTTTATCTATCCTAGCCAACAACTCGACTGAAGGTATCGCCTGTCTGGCTTTGCTGTTTGTCAAGTAGCTTTTAGTTATATATGTATGCTCTTATGAAATTATATTGGCCCCTTTAATCTTTGGTTATACTTCCCTTTTGGGTGTTTAAGGACATACAATTGGACCAGATAAACTGATTTGTTTTTACTCTTGAGGTCGTTGAGATAACATTTTTATTGCATCGAACGAAGTCTGGAAGAAAATGCATTTTAATACATTCCCTTTTTAAAATCTGTATAAACATGTTTCTCTTCTATCATGGACAATGTATATGTTTCTGTTTATATATATGCATATACATACACATACATGTTTTAAAAAGAAAATATTCTAAGTTAACATTTAAGACTGTTCATAACCCATCCTCATCCATCACACCCCCCTCCTTTGCCAGTCCACTTCTTCAGCCACACAGTTGTTTTAATTGTTTCCCCAAGTAGTGTACTTCCGCTTGTATGTAATTATTTCTAATCTTTACAAACTGAAGTTCCACCTCTTTGAGAAGTCTGTGAGCACTCAGTGAACTCTCCTCTAAACATTAATGGCAATTATAGTCAATCTGTGTCTCTCTTTGACAATTATGTGTCCCTGAGATCTGTTCTTTTCATTAATAGATTTTTTTCTAGATGTCTGCATTTTATTTCCTTTCTATTTTGGATAGTATGTTATAACATAGCATACTCATACATAAGTAGCAACTGTCCGTTCATTAATTGAATGAAGCTTCTCATAAGACCATTATATTCTGTATTTCTCACTAGTTAGTTAAAATGCATTATTCCAACTTTTGAAAATTATCAATCTAAAGAATCTTATTTTAACTATTCATAAATTTATATTTAATAACCTTTCTGGGAGGCTGAAGAGATGGCTCAGTTGTTAAGAGCAATGGCTGCTCTTGCAGAGGACCCAGGTTTGGTTCCCAGCACCCACATAGCAACTAAGAACTGTCTGTAACTCCAGCTCTAGGGGATCCAATGCCCTCTTTTGGTTTCCTCAGGCATTGCATGACATGGGTGCACTTACATACATGCAGACAATACACTCATACACATAAAATAAAAATAATATTTAAAAAGATAATAATAATAATCTTGGGGCTGGAGAGATGGCTCAGTGGTTAAGAAGCACTGACTGCTCTTGCAGAGGACCCGGGTTTAATTCCCAGCACCCACATGGTGGTTAACAACCATCTGTTGCTTCAGTTCCAGGGGATCTGACACCTTTTTCTGACCTCCATGGGGCATTGTATGACACAGGTACACTTACACACATGAAAGCCATACACTCGTATACACATAAAATAAAAATAAATAAAATATATTTTTTTAAATCTTTCTGGTCTTTGCTAACGTTTGAAGTTAATTTTTTGTTTGTTTTGTTGTTCAGGTACTAGGGATTAAGCCCAAGACATCATGCATGCCAAGCACACTTCATACCACTGACCTACACTCCCAGTCCCATTTAGTTACTTGTTTTAAAATTTATTCATTTTTATTTCTTGTGTATGAGTGTATTGCCTGTATGTGTATAAGTATACCTGTGTAATGCAATGCCCATGAAGAACAGAAGAGAGCTTCAGAGCCCCTAGAACTGGAGTTACAAATGGTTGTTAGCCACAATGTGAGTGCTGGGATTTGTCCTCGGGTCTTCTGCAAGCTTCTGCTGAGCCTGCTCTCCAGCCCCTCAATTAGTTACTTTTACAGAGCTTACTCATCGTACAGTATTATCTCAGGTTTTGTTTTGTTCACTAGTCATTCTTGAAATATTTTCATTTTTCAGTTTACAAAATTGTGATTTTCATATTTATGTTAGCACTTGATTTTTTTAAAAAGTCTCTAGTATGGTAGTGTTTTTTTTTGTTTTTTTGTTTTGTTTTGTTTTGTTTGTTTTTTCAGTCTTTTTGAAACAGGGTCTCCCTGTAGCCCCAGCTGTCCTGGAACTCACTATGTAGACCAGGCTGGCCTTGAACTCAGAGATCCACCTGCCTCTGCCTCCCAAGTGCTGGGATTAAAGG